TTTCTGTGAGATAAAAATGGCAGAAAATGCTAAATATTTAAAACAGCTAAAGTTGCACCAACACCAAAAGTCCCAGCAGGATTGTCCTGAAAGAGCCGAACGTTTTGATTCGTTGAAATAGATGAAAACTGCAGAACGAGAATTGTGATGAAAAACAAGGAAAAGTGGCTTCACAGTAGCGTGAACATAAACATTCACACTGTTGTTGTTTCTAAGAATAAAATGAACATTTATTTTATTAGCAACGTCTGCGAGACACTGGAGACCGTTTGAGTTCAGGATCTTCAAGTCAAATCATCAAACCAGATCAAAAAATGGAAAAGTTTCCTGCAGAAATGTCATGAAAGGATGAAAGGTACCTGAGAATAACATCTGAGCTCCTGTTAGTTATATAACTCTATCCTAGAAGGTGAAACTGACCTTAAAGTTTATAATCTAAGAAAAGATGCAATACTTTAAACAAAACGGAGGTAAAATGTCTCAAACCTTCAGAGCTGGTGTCAAAATTTAAATGTTTTCTGTAAATAAAGAGTCTGAGGTTGACATAAAACAAGTTATGATGTTGTAGCTTATTTTTAACATTTTAGATGATTCAAACAACAACTTAGTCCCTAAAATAATAATATATATATATATATATATATATATATATATATATATTTTTAGGTAGAAGGATAACAATGTATTTAAAAAATAATGTGCATTTAAACGTTTGTTTAATCTCCTGTAGTTTTAAGTTTAAACAAGAAGAAGCAATCTCCCATTTAAAGTTGTGCCGTGACCTTTGACCTTCTCTCCTACTGATAATATTTGGTACAAATAAAGATAAAAATCAAAACAGGCCTGTTAAGAAGGTTAAATACTTTTAATTAACGGCAGATTGTCAGACTCAGAAACTGGTTTGTTTTTGTTCAGTCTTTGTATTTTGTGTTCTCATCTGTTCACTTCCTGTTTTATTTTGAAGGACTGTTCCTGCTGTTTGAACTTTCTGCTCTAAGTTATCTTTTATTTTTAAAGGTTTCATATTTTCTGTAAACACTGAGAGTCGGGATGTTTGTTTAATCCCGGCAGGTTGATAAAGTTCGACCGTAGACGTTTTAAAGCTGATCTGCAGAAAGCACGAGTGAAGATGCTCAGACGTTTGTTCCGAGCAGTGACGTTAGAAGAAACGAGTCAGTTTCTCATATTTTCTTTGGGCTCTTGGAGCTGAAACGTTCCCAGACCTGAGCCCTGCGTTTGATTTAACGCTCATGTGACCAGACAAATTAGCGTTCCAGCGGTTAATGTATGCAAACAGCTGCAGAGGACGTTGAGCTCCATTAGAAATGATAGCTGTGAGTGTCGGGGAAGCTAACCGCTCCTGAAAAGGTGACAGCACATTTGGCTGCTGGAAGAAAGACGTTCACTTTGGGGCATTTTGATCTTTAATTCATGCTGGATGTGGAAAATCTGTGGATGCAGAGCTCATCAGGACCGAGTTCACAAACTGTCCTTTCAGGACTCGGCCCTCCTCGGCTCCCCACCCTGAGCCCAGGTCCGTGCACGCAGAACCTCTGAGTCCTGGACGGGCTTCACGCAGACACAAAGTGACAGGCCTGAAACGAAGCCAGGGCAGATATGAAAACAGGCACTGTTTGTCAAAACCAGGAAGTAATCAGGCCCCGCGTCCACCTCAGAGGCAGCAGCTGAAAACTATTAACCCCAAACAACCAGCGGCTTCGGCTGTTTGCCTCAGAAACAGCTGAAATAATTATCATAATGATCTGAGAAGATATCAGTTATCTTGTGTCCACACGGCCATTACTGTAGATGCCTTTAAATGAAACGAGCAGCTGTAATTACCCGTCTTTAATCCAATTAGTCTCTGGCACAAACGTGAGCTACATCTTTGATGCAAAAAGACTTTTATTTCTCTGACAACCGTCCCCACATCAAAGACAACATCAACGTTTTCAAGTGAAACTAGAGCCAAAACCTTCAGCTTTACACCGGCACCGTGAGAAATAAACTAAAATATACAACTTGTACTCAGATTAAAACACAAATATTTACATTCGATGCGTTACATGAAAATCTGAAGCACGAAACGACCTGAGAGCTCCAGAGTGAGATTCAAACACATCGAGAGGAAACATTTCAACCAGAGGAGCTGCGTTTCCTGCTGCAAAGCAGTGTGAACGCTTAAAGCTGAAGAGCTTGCTGAAAAACAGCTGAAATTAGCTTAAAACATGCTGAAATGTAGCTGAAATGGAAGAACAAGCCTAAATTAGCAGAAGAAAGCAGAAAGAACACATATTTGCTGAATTAGGTTTAAATAAGTTCAAATGAGCACAAAAATTATAGGATATCAGCTAAAAACGCTAAAATAAAAAAAATAAAAAACATCTAAAAAGTCTAGCCAAAATGGCCGAAAGAAGCTTAACTACAAGAAGGAAGTGGAAAGAGCTAAAATGAGCTAAAAAATGTGGAATTAGCTAAAAATGTTAAAATTTGCATAAAACAGCTAAATAGTAACTGAAGAAGAAAAAAACTGAAACTAGCTGAAAAAGCTGAAAGGAGCATAACAAGCTGAAATTAACAGAAAGATGTTAATTAGGCTGAAAGTAGCAGAAATTACCACAATTTTTTTATTTGTCTGAAAACAGCTGCAATCAGCTAAAATGTTCTAAAAAAGTAGCTGAAAAGGTAGAACAAGATTAAATTAGCAGAAGAAAGCAAAATGATTTCAAGTTTGCTGAAATGAGCACAAAAAGTAAAAATGATCTGAAAAAGCTGAAATGAGATAAAACAGCTGAAAAGTAGCTTAAAAAAGGCAGAAAGAAGCTGAAGTTACCAGAAGGAAATAGAGAGCACATGTTTGCTAAATTAGGCTGAAAAATATTGAAATGAGTGCAAAAAATACGGAATTAGCTGAGAAAGTCTAAATTAGCACAAAACAGCTAAATAGTAACTGAAATAGCAGGAAAAGTTGAAACTTGCAGAAATTAGCTGAAAGGAGCATAGCAAGCTGAAATTAGCAGAAATAAGTTAGAAGAAGCACAAGCATGTTTTAGTTAGTAGAAAGAATCTGAAAGAAGCACAAAACAGCTGAAATTGGATTATTAAATTTGCAGAAGGAAGCTGAAAGAAGCTGAAAGAAGCTGAAGCAGAACAAAATGTGAAAGGAGCAGTAAAAGGCTGCAACACATCTAAAGATCTGAAGGGTGTAAAATGAGCTCAGTTCAGTTTCTATGAGATAAAAATGGCAGAAAAGTTTAAATATTTAAAACAGCTAAAGTTGCACCAACACCAGAAGTCGCAGCAGGATTGTCCTGAAAGAGCCGAACGTTTTGATTCATGATTTGCCGAAACAGATGAAAACTGTGAAACGAGAATGATGCTGAAAAATGTACGGAAGAAAACGAATCACCGTAGAGTGAATGATCCGTATTGAGTCTGTTGAGGTCTGTCATTATTTTACGCTCTGCTTCCATGTTTGGATTCAAACAGCTGTGGCCACTAAACCACTTCCCTTCTGTTAGATTTTATAAATTATACGATGAAACTATTCCAACGCTTGCAGGTGTTTCATTGGTACAGAACCCCGGGTATGGGATGCCTGGGGTTCTGGGATAATAATAATTCTGGGAGCTCCATTAAATTCAGTTTTATAAGAGGAAAAGACACCTGGACACGTATCAGCAGTCACTTCACTTCAATCAGAGGAGCGGCAGGAGGTCACAGGTAAGTCTGGAGGAGGTGGGAGGGGAGGACCTGCCCCGAGCTTCACGGAGGAGCGGTGGGAAAAACAAAACAGGCTGTTTGGAATTTATTCCACAAACGTGTGGAAGAAACTAAAACTGAACGTTGGGACATCTCTCACCATCATCACAGTAAAGCACGGTGGTGGCAGCATCATCATGAGGGCGGTGTTTTCCATCGGATCAGATCATTTTAAATGATACGACTTATCAATCAGCTAAACAAAGTAGTCCTCTGGAAAACCAACTACAGAGAGACGAGGGGAAGGATTTAAGATTTAAAGAGACTGGGCCACAGAGCACCACAGTCAGGTTCCTAAATGATCTCCAGATATTAAATTATGTTTTAAAATTATTCCTTGTGTGGCTGATTTCCACCATAAAGGATAAAAACAGTCATAATTTAATACAAACCGCGGATAATAAACGGTTCATGTTGTCATTATTTCCAGCTTTATGTTTTTATTTGAAGGATCAGTTCGTTTAAAATCTGACAGGAACATTAACAATCGCAGTGTTGATGTAGAGTGGGCGGGGCCAAAACACGGGCTCTGAGCCTTCGGGAAGGCCTTGCAGGTGTTTTTTTTTTTTTTAACCACGTGAAGATTGGTGATGCATTCAATTGCATCCTGTAAATTTAAAAATCCAGACAGAAATTGTAGCTGCTCTAAAAGATGACGGTTAAATAATTTTCACCATTAAAGTTGTGTTTTGGTTTCATTTCATGATGAAATAAATTTGACAAAGTCTGTAAGTTCTGGGCTGTTAAATTTCAGTGTGAATTGTTGAAATTAGGGCAACGTGTTTTTGTGCTGCTGGTCGAGCTGCCGCCTCTCAGAGAGAAGGTCGCCAGATCAAATCCCGGGCCTTCCTGGGTGGAGTTTACATGTTCTCTCCGTGCTGCGTGGGTTTTCTCCGGGTGCTCCAGTTTCCTCCCACAGACCAAAAACATGCATGTTAGGCTGATTGGTAACTCTAAAGTATCTCTAGGTGAGTGAGAGAGTGAATGGTTGTTTGTCTCGTTTGTCTCTATATGTCCCTGTGATGGACTGGAGACCTGTCCAGGCGTCCCCGCCTCTCAGTGACTGCTGGACGTGGGCACCAGTGACCCCCGTGACCCGAACAGGAAGACGTGAGTAAAGATAATTGATGGATGGATTATTGAAATTACATGTTGCACTTGAATGCAAGAAACTGGATGAGACACAAGGCATGCTGGGTAATCTTGGGACAGAACTGGTCGGACTTTTTCAGGTTCTGTGTTCAGACGGGCCGTCCCTGTTGGTTCTGTTCAGTGTTGGGTGTTTGTGTTCAGGCTGTTGTTGGTGACTGTTTATTAAAAACCACGTGACAAGTCGGGGTTTGTTTCTGACGGATAAAAAGATCTTTTAGGTTTTATTGAAGGAGGATCGTAGTTTGGGTTTCATTCTGCTTCGTTTCCATCCAGAGCAAGTTCGTTTTCTTCAAGTAATTTAAAAGTGGAGCTGAAACCAGATCACGTGTTTGGTGAGTTTTAGGGTTCTGTTTGTGAAACGGTTCCACCGGGAGCGCAGAGGTTCTGAGCTTTAACGTCATGGAGACACAGAACCTGTCAGAGTTCTGCGACCCGTTGGTTCTACTTCCTGCTGAGGTTCTGCTGCAGAGCGGGGAAAAAGTTCCTGAGCAGAACCCGGCTGGGTGTCCGCACTGCTTCAGGATTAAAACGTGAGTCAGACCCGCAGAACCAGAACACGAGCGTTCATCCAACAATGGTCTGATGGTTCTACTTCATGGCGACCATCCAGACCGGCATGATGATCTCCGGGAAGCCCTCCTGCTTCTCCACGGCCAGGACCTCCAGGCCGGCCTTGGCGATGATGGCCTTCATGATGTCCAGGTGGCGGCTGATGCTGCTGTCGATGGGGTCCAGTTTGCAGCCCTGCCGGGCCATGTTGTCCTTCATGATGATGACGCCGTTCGGATGCAGACTCTTCTTACAGCGGAACAGGAAGTTCATCAGGTCTTTGTCGGTGAGATGACCTGAGGAGACAGAAACCAGGCGTCAGTTCTGAAGGTGTTTTTAAAGCACTGCCACCCATCCATTGCTCCTCTTCAGCTCCTGGAGGACACCGAGGTGTTCCCAGACCAAAGAAGATATTTAATCCCTCCAGCAAGGTCTTTGCCTGCTCCAGGTTCTTCTCCAAGTGTCTGGAGAACCTCCAGGGGTAGAGAGGCAATCTGCTCAGTCACCTCCTTATCTAACTCCTTCGTAGGAGCAGTTTCTCCACCCCAAGCTCCTCCTGGATGATGGAGCTCCTCACCTCATCTGAAGGTGAAGCTCATCCAGGATCTAATTTATTTAGTCCTGATCCAAACCTTAAGACCAGAGGTGAGACCAGGGATGTAGACAGAGCAGTAAATCCAGAGCTTTGCCTTTCAGCACAACTCCTTCACCATGACAGACTGGAGCAACATCCTCATTACTGAAGATCCTGATTTGTTGATACTTTTTAACAACCAAACCAAACTCTGCCAGAGTGACGGACTCTCCTAAGTCCTCCGTCCCTGAGCTCTGCTTCATCACAGGTGCACATGGTGGTCACATTAGGGGATCCTCATGGAGATCCTTCCACGACCAGCCAACACTTTCAGTCCAGATCAGAAGCACCCAACTCAAGCCCAGCCTGGTCTGGTCCTGTCCTCCTTTTCTGAAAAGACAGACAGTTTGCCTGAACCTCCTTGAGGCCAGCTTGAGTTCTCCTCCATGTTCTCTCAGATCTCAGCTCAGGAGAAGGTCGTGCACACGGATATTCAAAATGCTGGACAAGGTGCAGGAGCATGACCTTCAACGTTCTCAGAGAGCAGATACTCACACGCCACCCACTGCATCCAGATCACGTCGTACTTGTCCTTCGGCGGCGTGAACTCCTGCAGGTTGAAGCAGTAGTAGGTCTCGATCCGGTCGGCGTCGGCACCCAGATACTCCTCGTGCGCGTGGAGCAGGAAGTGCTCCATCATGTCCGCCATCTCTACTTTCTCAAACACAGGAAGGAGGACGCCTTTGGTCACACGTCCGATCCCACAGCCGCAGTCCAAAGCACACTGCGTCCCCGCCCCTCCAGGTCCCTGTTAGTAAAAAATCAGAAGGGATGGATTTACACTTTAATTTGTTTTCTGAGATCAAACTAATGTGAAACATCAACTTTACACTTTTATACTCCGGCGCTCGCAGGCGTCAGGTCTCAAAACGAGTCGACCTCGGCTCCTCAGATTTACCGCAGGGGAACAGAAAGTCGCCTCGCTTCAACCCTGCTGGTTTCTCTTCCCTTTCATTTGGTTTTCTGACCTCAGTCCAACCCCTCTGAACCGGGGGCCCCAGAGTGTGACTGCATGAACCAAATGGGGCCCCGAGGAGCTCAACTAAAGGGGCTTCCTGGTGTCAGTGAATTACTGCCACATTTCTCCGTTCATCTGTTTGAACTTGAAGCTTTGAATTCTTTTTCTGACTCGCATGTTTCTCAAATGAGTTTAAACAATTTATAGTTTTTATATTTTTATTGCGCAGGATGCTCCAAAGTTTAAAAAAAATGTAGCTGAAACTTAACAATGTGTTGAAACTGGACAGAAAAGTCCATTCAGATACTCGGCATTGTTAAATTAAACATCACAGCTCCGCTGGCCCAAACTTGAACTTGTTGTGTTTATGTTTGCAGCAGAAGAACTGTGGCCTCCTGGTGTCTGCTGCTCTTTAAAGCATCCACAGTTTGCAGTTTATAATTAGAGCAGCTGCAAAAGTCTGGGTCAAACATTTCTCCTGAATTAGCAACAACATCTCACCCAACTTCTAAATAAATCTGTATCCCTGTGGCATGCACACATGCAGAGGGACTTCAACTGTTTTAAGAAGTTACAACGTAGATGTCTCTTGATTTGAAGGTCCAGGAAGATCAGGATAATCTAGACGGTCTGATTGTCCAAATCCAACAGCTTCAGTCTTTTTTTCTTTTCATGTGAATGAAGTGTGAAATCATGCTTTGATGTAATCAGGCTAATTAAAGTGATTATTTTTTTCTACCTTTATGAACAAAAAAAAAAAAATTTGGACATTTCTTTAAAAAAAAAAGAACCCTGAAGACTTCAAAACTAAAACAGGAGAGGACCGTGAACCAGTCCTTGAGGAACGCCAAATGTAATCAGAGTTTTTATGACAGTATCTTCTGTTAAACTAGCAGTTTTTTCCCCTCACTTTATTTTTAATACTTTAAACAGTGTTAAAGTCATATCTGAACATCATTCTGTGACTCATAAAGCTGAACATTTTGTACATTGGGTTGAAAATTTTCTCATCTGGAATAAGAAGTTCCAACTAAAGTTTAAGGAACTCGTTATAAAGAAGGAAGCTATGATCCTGAGCTAATCTTAGCTGCTAAAGCTAACATTTTGTAAGCTTCCACCATACTCTTTTGACAGTACAACTCCAGAAACAAAAGAGAGAAGAAAGTCTTGTTGGAACAGAGTCGTGTGACCTGCAGCTTCCTCGGGCATCGAGTCTTAGCTGCTTTAAGGTCAAGCTCATGAATAAACTCTGCCATGAATATCAATGTGTCACCAAACAGGCAGAAACTGAACAACAACTCACCACAAACCTCTTCAGAAACTGGCGGGAACCTTCCAGGTCCACGTTGCATATCTCCACAAAATCTCCCATCATGCCCTCCTCCGAGGCTGGGACGTCCTCGTAGAACTTCTGAGCCCTGTAGTAGAACTGCTTCTCACCTTTGATGTACTCGCAGGTGACCGGGAACAGCTTCACTGTCGGCACACAGAACAGACGGCATATTTAATCTGGTCCAGTATCCAGATGTTCAAGACCAGTTAAACTCGAGGAAGTCCTTCAACAAAACTTTGTACATCGGATCCCTCAGAGACGTTGTGAGAACATTCCTGTGTCCACCATCCTCTGTTCCTCTTCTTGTTGCAGCTGCAAGAAAACCTGTGGGTTTTGGTTCTGAGTGGTCCTTTAAACCAGAACCAGAACCAAACATGTCAGTTCCAGGAGTCTGAGGATGTGAAGCCAAACGTGTTGGTTGGAGAGGTTCAGAGAGCGACGGTTTCTGAGCCTTCAGAACTGGAGTTTGGCCTCATCAGACCCTGATGGCTGGTTTGAGTCAAACTAACGTGTCCTCGGAGGTCCCTGGTCTGAAAGGACAGTTTCTGCTCCCTGGGACGCTCTCTTGCACAATCGGGACGATTTATTCGCTGAACCACCGTGACGTTGTTAGAGTTCTGAGCACGTTTTACACCGTCACAGACCGATCTCGCTCTGACACCTCCATGCACACCTGAAGACCTCGGTGAGACCCTGCAGAGCCCAGCCTGGTTTGATGTTGTTGTGGGGGCCGTCCAGTGTGGTTTAACTGGTTTAACCTCGTTACTGGACGGACGACAAACTTTCAGACACCAGAGGTTTTGAAGGTCGTTCAGACCAAAGAAGTCCTGAACTTTGAATCAAAACTGGATCCACAAAACCCATTTCATGACTCGTTTCCAAAATGTTGATGCAAAGTTAAAACCATTTAATTGAACTTTAAAAAAATAAAATAAAATAAACAAAATATAAAATGTTTGTCTTTCCTGATCAGCTTCATTGAAACCATGTTGCTCTGTTAAATGACGGTTTTTCAAAGTTCTCCTGAGTCCTGGAAGATAAAAAAATTTATTTTTTCATGCAGCTCCTCTGAGGACTCATAAATTATTAAACGTTGGTTTCTGCTTCTCTGTCGATGTAAATACTTGAATTATTTACCAGTTTGCTGGAAAAATCATTTAAGTGACTTTGATCCAGGAGAGAAACGCAGACCTCCGTCACCCCAGAGACGCTCCAGGTTCTCCTGGGGGACCCCCAGGTGTCCAAGAGCTTCACCTTACAATTCAACCCTTCCTTCACCATGACTGACTGAAGCAACGCCCTCACTACTGTGGATGAGGTCCAGAACCACCTCAGTGCATGCTGAAGGTCATGGCCCAAAGACACTAACAGAACCATGTAACCCACAAAAAGCAGGATGAGACCCTGAAGTTTCCTAACTAGACCCCCTCCTCTCTGACTCCTGTCCATGAAGACCACAAGCAGGGTCTGAGACCAGGGACATTCTGGAGGAGTTCAGCCTGTGCCGAGAACGAGCTGGACTTTGGGCCGAGGATGGTCCTGGTGGTGAAATCAGACCAGTAACAGCAGAACCAAAGGTTTGGCTCCATCATCCTGAAGGAGCTGAAGTTTCTGTTAGCGAACACGACAGCCGGCTGCTGCTGCGGATCAGATCTCAGGAAATGATGGATGATAATTAGATTGGCCGAGAACTATAAATGTCTCGGCCGCTCCCGACACGTCCGAGGAGTCTGTCCTCCGCCGAGACGTTATCTGTCTGAGAACTGAGCGGTTCAGAACCCGAACAACTGCTTCCACGAAGCAGCCGAAGCTGTCGCTGCCTCTGATCTGCTGAGCCGAAATAAACCCTCGACATTTACAGGAGCTTAGATCACATCAGGGAGGGGGTGCAGTTGTCAGAGATCTTCAGCTGCAGGATTCATGACACCAAAGTGAAACACTAAGACCTGCCCCCCCCACCCCCCCCCCCCCCCCCCCCCCCCCCCCATGCAAACAGACAAGAAATCTCTTCTGTGCTACAAAGTTTGAATAGTTTAAAATATAAAACAGATCAAAGGTCTTTAAAAACTGATTTGTGATTTTAAAGAGGGGACTGAGTTCGATGAGCAAGCTCATCCCAGGATGACCTTTGACCTTCGGTGTCACAGAACGACGCGCTTCGTTAGCGTTGCTGTCAATCTGCTCGTGTACGTTCATGAAGAGGCAGATTCTGCTCCAAGAGGTGAAGTCAGGCGGCGGAGGCCTTCACACCGACTGACATGAGTTAGGGCGCTCATGCCTGACGTTCCAAACCATTAATGGGTCTCGGATCGGGTTGATGGGCAGAAAATAAAGAAGGAGCCGCAGGTCGGGAGCTCCTGTTTCTGCAGAGCGTGGTCCCATGGCGGGTCTGTGCGCATCAGCAGAGGAGAGGCTCGAACGGTCGTGTTTTCAGGCTTCAGCCGTTTGTTCCTGAAAGAGAGGAGACGAGCTCCTGGAGGGTCGAGGTTCTGGAAGCTCGTCGAGTCCAATAAGTCTGGTAATAAGTTTTAGAAACATCTCAAAGAGTCAAAAGGAAGTCCAGAAGTCTTTGACTGCAGTCCTGGACCTGGGGCGGTCTGGGTCAGCGTACGTTCAGAGCTCAGACCGAAGGAACAGCAGCTGGAGCGAAGGAGCCGCAGGAGGCTTCCATGATGCTGAAGAGAAAGAGCTCATCCTCCAATCAGAGCCTTCAGAGCAGCATCAGAACGAGGACGCTGCTTTCATTAAATCTTTGTTTTCAGCAGCAGTTTCTGAACTGGTGTTGGTGGTGAAGCTCCAGCAGATGCTGGTCGTTCGGTTTGCACCTCGTGAACGTGTTAGTAAAACATTTGTCTTGTTGGTACTCCGGCTGCTCTGTGCTACGGGTCTTTGAGTCTGGGAGGCCTAAAGTCCCCTGCACTTGTATTTTAGATCTTGTTATTCAGAGTTCTGATGGATGTTTGAAGGAGTTGATTGATCATCAGACCAGCACTTCCTGTTTTTATACTTGAACAACAAACAGACAGGAAGTCCATAAAACCAGATAATAAAATGTAAAGTTTGATGAGTCTGATGAAACAAAAGACAAAATCATATGAAACGAGTCAAGAAGTTGATTGTGTACGCCTGACGGGCGACGGTGTAACTCTTACCCAGGGGGATCTTCTCCACCAGGTAGAGGTAGCTGGCGAAGAACTCGCTCCTGAGCGTGTGGTGCAGGTGGAAGGACATGCTGTGGCGACACATGGTGTCGTCCGTCTCCTTCCAGCGGTCCCTGAACGCCTGGTGGGCTCCTTTGTACTCAAAGTTTGGAGAGGAGTTGTTGTTCTCGTCTTCCATGGTGATCTCCATGTTTGTCTCTTAGTCCAGGAGCAGTGTGAAGGAGGCGGAGGAGCTGGACAGCTGCTAAATCTGTGCAGCTGAGAGACGAACGCCCCCCTGCAGCGCTCAGAGCTACAGGATCTTCTGCTGTGGGGGGGCTGAGAGGCTCCAAGCTTTAAATACCGACCATTCATCTGACTCCCACTGGAAGAACTTCAGTTGACGTGTTTGTCCTGAAGAACCTGATCCCAACAGAACAAAGAGATTATTTTATGTTGTTTCACAGAAAAAAGTCAATAATCTTTAACCGCTTTGTTCCACAAACACACATTTATTCCTGTTTCTCTAGTTCAATCCATGACCAAACACAAGTTTTATTAACTGCATATATATGTACATATATATATATATATATATATATATTATATATATATATATATATATATATATATATATACGTTGTATATACATTTATATATACAGTATATAGGGAGCAGCCGAAAGAAGAAAACAACAACAAAACAAAAAAATGTATATATGGCCATCTTGTATTTGATCGTGGCACCCAACATTCGATAACAACCTTTCTTTAGGATCTGCGGTGGAAGTGGTCTCCAGCTACAAGTACTTGGGTGTGTACCTGAACAACAACCTCAGCTGGAGCAACAACACCACCAGCCTGATGAAGAAAGATCATCAGAGACTCTACTTCCTCAGGCGGCTGAGGCGAGCTGGTCTGGAAGCTCAGTCCTCACCTCCTTCTACAGGTGTGCAGTGGAGAGCATCCTGTGCTCCAGCATCAACGTGTGGCATGGAGGCTGCACAGCTGCAGAAAGAAAAGCTTTGCAGAGAGTGGTGAAGGCTGCACAGAAGATGTTGGAGTCAGTCTCCCCACCATCACAGACATCTACACCTCCAGATGCAAGAAGAGGGCCACCTGCATCATGAAGGACCACACTCATCCAGCACACA